CGGCCGCCGGCGTGTTTATGGCCGAAACGGAACGACGCGGCGCGGCCGCACCCCCGTGACGAGGGACGCGCCCGGGCACGGGGACGGGTCGTGACCGGTAGACCCGGCCTGGTCAGGTGCGACGCGCTCACCGAGACCTCTGCAGTTGGAGTTCGTGCGTGGAATCGAAGTGGCCCACGAACTTGGATGTGAAGAAAGACACAGCACTGTTTTCACTAAACTTAACCACAATCCAATGTCTTCAATGACGCGGAGAAGCAACAAATCACAGTACTATTTGTCGCTGTCACTAAGGGAAACCGCAAGGCTTTTCCTCGCGCAGCCGTCGCGGGTGTCAGCAGCGGTTTCAGCGTCGCGGGAGCTTTTCCGGAGCAGGAGCGCGCACCTGCAGGCCGCGTCTGCCAGCGCCGGAGCCTCCTCCAGGGAAAAGGTGCCGACCCGCGTTATCGCGGCGCCTGGAACCCAGCCCGCAGCCCCTGGAGGCGTGCCTGTAAAACACGTCACAAGTTTACGATGTAAACTGTTTTAATATATAGGTTTCCTTGTAAACGCTACATATCTTTTATGCGTTTAATAATGTTAAAGATGACGTCCGGAGGCTTCACCGAATTGCAGAAAGGGTGCCAGGCACAGGGAAGGCTCAGAAGCCCTGCCGAGATAGGGAACCGCAGTCCAGGCCTGCCCAGCTTCTCGGTTCCGTGGGCATCTCTAAATTCTGGATATTTCATAAAATGGTTTCATGTAATAAACTGCTGGATTTTAAGTTCTGGGCAAATTTGCATGTTAGCTGTTTTACAGACAGTGGGTTTGCCAGTATCAGATACACTTTGGCGGGTTTTAGAAAACAGGCCTTGCTAGTGCAAACTCGTTAACCTGAAGCCCCTGAGAAAGTAACAGCCTTTTGACACCTTGGGTACAGTTGAACTCTTAGGAACACAGCCAAGGATTCATATCCATTCAGCTGGCCCAGGTGGTGAATACCATACGCTCACCTCCTTGTACAGAGGTTTGGAGGAGGCGCTGAAAACAAAGTGCGTGCTATATTTTCATCTCGGAGGATAAAAGAAAACAAGCCTGCTTTCCAAAAGATAAAGATTGGGATTAATAAAGCATGTTTTCATTGTGAAAACAGCTATATTTAAACCTTTTTAAATAAAACATTTAATATTTAAAACAGCCCCTTTAGAAAGTTTATAATTTACTAACACTTCTCTTTTGAGCACTTGCATTAGAAACACATTTTAAACAGGTTGTGACAACATCTACATTTTAGATCTTGTCTAATATCTGAAGGGATAGTATTGTGAGGCAGTTGCCCACTAGCTTCCCGAGGGAGAAGGCCCCACACTTCCTGTTCTGGAAGATGAGCAGTGTGGCTGGCTTCATCTGGGACTTCAGAACCTCTTTTCCTAAGGTCACGCTTCCAGAGACTACGGAAAGTCAGATAGCAAGCATTGCATTTCAGTTTGGTCACTGGAAGACGCATTGCCAGATCTGAGAAAGTCTTTTTATTATCTAAGTACTATGCCTGTGCCATCTTTTTAAATTTATTTTGAGACTTAGGAGTCTGATGTTTCAAAGCGAAAGATAGAAGGCCTCTAAAATCATCTTAAATTTCAGAGTTTTTTAACTCGATGCTTAACGGTAGGATAACTGTCTTTTCAAACGTGTGAAGTGCTGTTCTTTAGTATTTCCTAAAATGTAATTATATATATTCCTCAATCTAATTAGCGTCCCAAATAAAGTAGATTTTTTTACTCAAAAGAAATACTTTTTAAAACAAGAAAAATTCATCAAATTGGGTATCTAAAATAGAAATTTACACTGTTCATGGGCCTGTGATTTAGTACGCATGCTGTAACACGTGTATAACAATACTAAATTTATAACTTAGTCTCTGAATTTTTTAGAAAGAATATTTACTAGTAGTCCTGTGTTTCATTGTTGCCTGATGTAAAACCAGTGAACCATATTTTTGTTTTTCGTTTGTTTCTCTTGATTCAGTTTTTCATATTTGTGTTAAAGCAGTATTAAATTTATCAAATACCATGCAAGCTTATAGCAGTATTATAGGTTCTATACAGATTATTACACATAGTTTATACCAGTGACTAGTAGAAAATCAAAACAAATTGCCTGTATGATACAGAGAATTTAGATAAGCTAAAACTTTGGTTCTACCTATTCCACTTGAGTCCTGGGATAGACTAGAGTTAAACTGTTTGAGGCCCACACACACAAAAACGCCTACTAAAAATAATAAATGAATTCAGCAATACTGCACAATACAAGATCAGCATACAAAAATCAGTCATATTTCTATACATTAAGAATGCATTATCTGGAAATGAAATCAAGCAAACAATTCCATTTATACTAGCATCAAAAAGAATGAAATAGGAATAATTTTAAGAAAAGAAACAAGACAAAACTATAATATTGAATGTCAACTGTAATCGAAAAATATATATATAAAAAAAGAAATGTGAGACTTGTATGCTTAAAACTACACAACATCATCGAGAGTAAATAAAGGCCTAAATAAAAGGAATCCTATGTGTATGGATTGAAAATCATAATATTCTTAAGATAGCAGTATTTCTTAAATTGATCTACAAAGTCAGTACAATCCTATCAAAATGCTAGCAGTCTTTTTTTCAGAAAAGCGTATGGAATTTCACAGAACCCAGAATAGCCAAGACAGTCTCGAGAAAGAACAGAATTGGAGGACCCTCACTTCCACACTTCAGGATTTATTACAAAGAAACAAATTAACACTGGAATTGAAAGTCCAAAATAAATCTTTATGTAATTCATGGTCACTTGGTTTTCCATGGGATCCCAAGACAAAGGAGAAATAACAGCCTCTTCAGCAAGTGGTGCCAGGACAGATGGACATGCACAAGCAAAATAACGAGGTGGGGCTCCCGCCTCACACCTCATGGAGAACTAACTCAAGTAGATGAAATGCCAAATGTAAGAACTAGAACCATTAAACTTACGGAAGAAAACACTGAAGTTTTTGTGACTTTGGATTAGGCAGTAGTTTCTTAGGCATGACAACAAAAGCACAGCAACAAAAGAAAAAACTTAATTGGACTTGATCATAATTGAAAACTTTTGTGATTAAAAGAACATAAAGTGAAAAGGCAATCCACAGGATGGGAGAAAATATTTGCCATCACGTATCTGAAAAGGGACGTGAATCCAGAATACATAAAGAATTTTTAAAGCTCAACAATAAAAAGACAGCCCAGTTTGAAAGTGGCAAAGGATTTGACTGTATCTGCAAAGAAGACCCATAAATGGCCCATGAGCACGTGAAAGGGTGTTTATCATCGTCCGTCATTGCAGGAGCGCTCAGAGCTAAAACGAATTCCTATAGAGGCGGTTGGGAAGGAAGGGAGATTGGGAACCAGCGTTAGGATCTTTCCATGTTTCAGTATCTCTATCTCTTTGGGAATTAATAAATGTGTAAACCTCATTTCTTTTACCAAAATGCACAAGTTATAAGTACAGTAACCTTTCCTTAAAATGTGACTTCTTTCTAAATATACAGGCTTTAATACACTCCCCTTTTTATTGAGAGAAAAGGAAAAGAGAAACTACCTATTCCTTGGAGATCTCAGAGAACCATAAAAATCTCTAATACAGTACTACATTTTTGGTTATTAAAGATAGCTTCTTATTTAGGATTTGTCTTACGTAGAACTTGCCTATCAAGCACTTAAGAGACATTAGCAGCTATTTAAGATTTCAGCGTGGTCTAGGTTGACATGTAGCTAAGCTATTAATTTGAAAGCATTAATCAGAAGGATTTTCTTTGCTCCGTGTATGAACTATTGAATATATCATGGCCTAAATAAAATCTGAGTAAAGAGATTTTTCTTTAAAGGCTAAATTGACTACATGTCTTTTATGTCTTTGTTCCATGTTTGTTTTTCTTTTTAAAAAAGAAGCTATAGTGACACTGAAACCGAAGGAGAGATTTTTGATTCCTTAGTGAAATATTTTGGTGATAATTTGGGGCGAAAAGTTAAAGCGATGCCATTAGTTGAAGAAACTTCCTTACTTGAAGATTCATCAGTGACTTTGCCTGTGGTAATAATAGGTAAGTTATTGCATTTTCTCTCTTAAATTTGTTGTGATCCTTACTACTTCTGTAAATGTACAGTTGCATAACTCAAGTTCTTAGGATTGTATTGAAGAAGTGTCGTTAGGTTTGATATGTTAAAGCAACCAATAATCAAATCTTAGGAGAGACAAATTGGTTTATCTGATATTAGGTCCTAGTTAAAATGCGACATCCTTTCATTAAAGAACTGATGCTACGTTATTTTAAAGCACCGGCTCTCAGTCAGTCGCGTTGATTATATGACAGCGTTGCAGTAACGACGCCCAGTGTTGCTCACACCCTCCCCGCACCGGGCACTCTGTGTACGTCGCCGGGTGAGGTCTTACCGCACGATGGCCCTCCGATGCAGCGCGGTTCCGTGACGAACATCGTAGTCCTCTGCAGTGATGTTTAGAATTTCCTTAACCACAATATTTCTGTGATTTCTCCTTTGTACCACCTCAACAGATAGGCGTATAAGAAATTAAAAATTAAGCTATTAATAAAACCTAATTACTTTAGAATTACAAAAGTTTTTATGATTGTTTTAGTGCTTGTATTTCCCTGTCATGTGTATCTTCCATCTAATATTCAAACGCACACGAGGTTGGCAAGTGCTATAGTGTGCGGCAACCTGAAGAAAGAGACATGGGACATAACGTACCTTGGTGGCAGGCAGCCTCTGCAGTTCCTTTGATAGTCCGTTTCACAGAAAGGGCAGAGGAGAGAGAAGCCCTGTCCTCTCACTGGCATGGGGGACGGTCAGCACAAGAAGGAAAGGAAGGAAGGAAGCAGGTCGTTCTACACTGGTCACCTCTGGGGAACAGGCTAGAGATGACAGCTTTTGCCCTAGTGCTCCTCCTGGATGTCTTGGAGACCATACTCCTGGTCCACTGTCCAGCTTCTAGCCACAGTTATTTTCTGTCCTGGCTGCCTTCCAACCAGGAACCATGGCTGCTGCTTCTAGCTCGGTGTCGGGAAGTCTGGAAGGAAGAACTACCTTCATTTCACCTGCGCACCTCAGTCCCCCGTCCCCTAGTCCTGTTTGCCCCAGTTGGCCGACGAGTGGCACCGCCAGCCCGAGCATACGTAACGAGCTCATTTCCTCAGTATATGCGTTGGGTTTCTATTGTCTGGATGTTTCGCAGTTTAGTCACTTGTTGACATCTTGTTTGCTTCTGCCTTTTGAGTTGCGAGTACAGATGCTACACACATTCGTGTGCAGGTTTGTGTATGTTCACTACATCTTCAGCTCCTGTGGGTAAACACCTAGGAGTGTGAGTGCTGGGTCATATAAGACAATGCTCAGCTTTTTAAGAAGCTGTCGGTCTTCCAAAGTGGCTGTGGCACTGCATTCCCAGCTGTTACGAGAGTCCCTGCTGCTCCACGGCCTTGTCAGCACTTGGTATTGTCTGTTGTGGGTTTTAGCCATTCTGATAGGTGTGTCGTGTTACCCCGTGGTTTCATTTTGAAGTTCTGTAATGACATGATGCTGAGCATCTTTTCATATGTGTATTTGCCATCTGTGTCTCTTCGAGGTGTGTTCAGATCTTTTGCCTGCTTTTTGAACTCTCATATACAAGAGTTCTTTGTATAACAAGTATGTTATCAAGTGTATGTTTTGCACATATTTTCTCCCAGTCTGGGACTTTTCATTCTCTTAACAATGTCTTCTGCAGAACAGAAAATGTGAACTTTTCAAAGTCCTGCTTATCAGTTTTTTTCTTTCATGGATCCTGCTTTTAGTGCTATATCTAAAAACTCACTACCAAACCAGAGGTCACCTAGATTTTTCTCCTACGTTGTCTTCTAGAAGTTTTATAATTTTGTTTCTTATGTTTAGTTGGGTCTGTGCTCTGTTTTAACTTTTGTGAAAGATATAAGGTCGGTCTCTGGATTCATATTTTTGCATGTGTGTATATACTTGCTCCAGAACCATTTGTTGAAGAGACTGACTCCACAGGCTCGCCTTTTCTCCTTTGTCAAAAAGAAGTCGACTACATTTGTGAGAATCTATCTCTGGGCTTTTTGTTCTGTTCCATTGATCTGTCTGTTCTTTAGTCTTTTTGATTCAAGGAACTTAGCTCTTTGCCTCAGATCTTAACTCCCACTCTTTGTCATTTATCATGTTTATGAAGGCAAATGATTTATTTTCCTTGTCTTTTGAGTTTTGCGTCATGCTTAAAGGCTTCCCACTCCAGCAATCTAAGTAGAAATATTACCCGCTTTCTTAATAGTCTTTATGATTTTACTTCTCATATTTACATCTGTGAGCTTATTTGGGACAAAATCTTAGGCAAGGAACAGGATTTTTTCCCTATGGCTGGCAGTTGTCCCAGTTGAATTAAATTTTTGATAGATGTGGATAATAAAGAAGTAGCAACCCAGACTAAAGAGACCACGGAAATGGAAGCAGTTCACCAGCGTTCAACACAAAGTCCAGTTTGATTTTAGTTAAAACATATCAAACATAGAAAAGTAGTAATAGGAGACAGGACTGGACAGATGGTTCAGATCAGAAGACGGAGGGCACTGGAATAGAGCAGCCAACATGCTGAAGATCACGTGTTACTGAAACTCACCTGGATATAGAATGTGACGTGATTTGGGGGTAGGTGAGTCTTAAGGAGAATCAGGAGGAGACTTCTGTCTCGGAAGAGGGTGTAGGAGTGAGAACAACAAAGACACTGACCGGATAGAGGTGACAAGACAGGTTTAGAACCAGAACCTGATTAACTTAGGATTCTGCTGGTGCCATAAGTCAAGAAGGGATGGTGTTTAAAAGGAAAAGGCACCTAAACAAGAGCTCATGAATTGCTTGTGAACACATCGATGATGTTACTAGTGGTCTTCCAGGTGGAGTGAAGAAGTAGCATGTGGACACGGGGGATATATTTTGGGAAGAGGTCAACCTAGGGAGTCTAACTCTGGGAGTCAGTAGCACAGAGCTGAAGTTCCGACTACATGGGGCTCACCTAGGAAAATGGGAGTGAAGACACAAGTCCGAATCTTGTGAATACTTGGTTTTAAGAGCTGAGAGAAATTGAGAATTGGTGAGGGAGAAAAGCCAAGGAATAGCATTAAGATGCATGACACACCCCTCTCCACCCTTTTTTTTTTTTAAATAGGAAATGGACCCTCAGGGATCTGCCTTTCTTATATGTTATCAGGCTACAGACCATATTTATCATCAGAAGCAATACATCCTAATACAATCTTACACAGTAAATTAGAAGAAGCAAGACATCTTTCCATTGTTGATCAGGTATTATTTCTTACATGTCAATCCTTTTAATTTTTTTTTTTATTCTGAAACATGATTAGTTTTCTACTTATATGAGCATTGTGTTTCCTAGTTGAATATCCTCTTCTAGACAAGACTACCATTTTTTAGATTAGTAAATATATTCTGCTGAGTTACTTCTATTTTCCCGAATTGGTAAGAGCGGAATTCCCAACTGGTTTCCTGATAGACGTTTAATAGGTGCTGTCTGCTTATGGAAGTTCGGGGAGCGCTGCTTTTATAACTTCCGGGTCACTGTAGACATGTTAAGGCATCTTCCAGGCATCTTCAAGTTTTGCAGTAAAAGGATCCGATTAGATTTGTTGAAACCCAATCGTTTCCAATATTTATTTGACTGAAGAATCTATTATGGTCTCAAGGAACATCAGTGTTCTCTAGCACACTATCTGGGAAATGCTGGGTTAGTGTAAGGGCCTGCACTTAGCTGTGATAGCTGCTTTTTAGTGTTATTTTTTCCCCAAAAAACTATGCCTTTTTTTCTTTCTTTTTAAAATTTCATTCAGGACTTAGAATACCTGTCTGAGGGTCTTGAGGGCCGATCGTCCAATCCTGTCGCAGTGCTTTTCGACACGCTTCTTCATCCAGATGCTGACTTCGGGTACGACTACCCCTCCGTGCTGCACTGGAAATTAGAGCGCCACCATTACATCCCTCACCTGGTCCTTGGGAAAGGCCCACCTGGCGGAGCTTGGCACGTGAGTCCGTTCTTTGCAGCGTTTCAGCATAGGTGACTTACTACAGGGCATCTCGATGACACCATCTGATTCTTAAATATTGAGATAATACATGATATTACTGAATTTTTACCTGGAAATTTTAATCCCGTTCAATTAAATGTGGGTTAATTACTAGAAGTTAGGTCAAATTTGACAACCGATAGTCTTAGACTAAGCATTTCTCTATACTATTTCGTGAGAATTATACAGAAAATATTTCAAGACTATTTTGCATATTAAAAAATGTTTAATTTATTCACTTTAGAGATGACAGAATCTCACACAGTATTTCATAGTC